GAGGGAGGGAGGGAGGGAGGGAGGGAGGAAGGAAGGAAGGAAGGAAGGAAGGAAGGAAGGAAGGAAGGAAGGAAGGAAGGAAGGAAGGAAGGAAGGAAGGAAGGAAGGAAATAAGTTCCAAGGGGCTCTGAAGACACCCAGGAAAGGTGGCATTCCCAGAGTGGAAGGTAGGTGGGATACAGGGGTGGGGTGGGCTCTGAGCCCTCAGGGACGTGCACTCACTCATTGAAGCAGTGGGCAGCAGACACGAGCCACCTGGCGCCAATGACGGCGGCCCCACAGAAGTGTTCGTTGTTTTCTCGGAGGCTGACTTGCCAAGGGAACTCCCCCGGGGATGCCTCCACACCGCCCACAATCCTGCCGGCTGTCCTCCAGCCAGGCTGCAATCCACAGTCTGCAAGACAGAGATCACTATCCAGGACCCCCAAGAAGGCAGGAGTGTGGCCACGTTCCTGGCACGTCTGTCTGCAGTCTGTTGTCCCCATGGCCCCCGCATTCAAAGAATGCCAAAGATGCCAGCAAACCACCAGAAGCCGGGAGACCACATGGAACAGATCCTCCCTCACGGCCTCAGAAGGAACCGACCCTGCGGACACCTTGATCTCGGACTTCTAGCCTCCAGAGCTGGGAGAGAATACATTTCTGTTGTTTAATCCACTCAGCCTGAGGTCCTGTGATTCAGCAGCTCTAGGACAATCATATCCTAAAGTTAGCTATATGGATGCTACGTACCTATGTGACCAACCCCCAACACAAACCCTGGACACCAAGCCTTGGGTGAGCTCCCCTGGTTGGAAGTACTTTGAGTGTGTTGTCACATATGGTGCTGGGAGAATGAGTTAAGCGCTGTCCACATGACGCCACTGGGAGAGGATAACTGGAAGCTTGCTTGAGCTCGGTCTCTCCTGGACTTTGCACCTTTTGCTTTGCTGACTTTCATCTGTATCCTTTCACTGTAATAAGCCATAACTACGCATATAACAGCTTTACTGAGTTCTGTGACTCCTTCTCGTGAATCACTGAATCTGAAGGAGTCTTGGGGATCCCCCGACCACACCTGCCAATTTCAGTCAACCTCTATATCATCCTCCACAGCCAGGTACCAGACGCTATGAATGTCTCCCTCACCATGTATTTTGCAAGTTTCAAAATCTTTATATGTCCATCTTTTCATAGGATGCCGTGTCTCTCTGTTTATTTAGTCTGCTTTTATGTCCTTCAGCAATGGTTTGTAATTCTAGATAATTATTATTATATACAGGACACAAGTTTATTTTATTTTGTGTTGCTATTAATCAAGACTATGATCTTTTCCATTATATCTTCTAACCTGTTATTAATTGTATAAAGCAAAACAAGAGCTTCCTTTATGTGTATTTATCTTATCTTCCCCTTATTGTTGAACTGTCTTATTTTTCTGATATCCTTTCAGTTAATTTATTGATTCATTTAGAGAATCAAATTCAAATTATGATAGTTTTCCTTCTTCCTTTCCAACATTTAAACCACTGTTCTCACCTTACTGCATGGGCTAGCATTGCTAGAAAAATGTTGACTACTCTTACAGCATTTCAATTGTAATTTTCCCTTGCTCAAATCCTTTTGGTGACTCCCCACTACCTAGAGGACAGACCCCCAGTTCCTGGCATTCAAGGCTTCCCACGGTTCGACCTTTTTTCTCCTTCTCTCCCGAGGCTCTCCACTCCACACACCTCAAGGTCTCCCTTCTCTGCTTGCCCCTCAGGTTTCCTGTCATATCACAGGTGCCCACTCCCTTTCTCTGCCCCGCTCCAGTGAATGCCGGGACCACGTGTCTGTGTGTGATGGGCACAGTGGGCCAGAGAGCCAGCACTTGAACCTGGAAAGGGGACATAGCCCAGAAAACAGGCCAGACAGGCAGACTGACCACAGTGGGCCTCATCGGAGCCATCAGAGCAGTCCGCCGTGTCATCACACTCCGGGTTCACCTTCGTCACACACTGGCTGTTCCCGCAGGAAAAGGCATTCCCTGGACAGTGACCTGAGGGCAGACAAGAACCGCGTTCCTGACCTCACTCCATCTCTCCCGCCTGCCCTCCACGCGGAAACTCTAGAGCGTGGAAGGCATCTCTTCTCTGCTTCCTTTTCTCTGAATGTTTCTGAAATAATTTTCTCAGAATTAGTACAGAGATGTGACACATGAGAATGCTAGTCAGCACCGGGGCCAGGGCTACGCAACCTAAGCGTATGTGTGCCGTGTATGTACTTTTTACATTTCTATCAGCCACGTTTTATTTATTTATTAATTTATTTTAATTAATTTATTTTTTGGCTGCGTTAGGTCTTCCTTGCTGCGTGCGGGCTTTCTCTAGTTACGGCGAGCGGGCGCTAATCTTTGTTGTGGTGCGTGTGCTTCTCATTGTGGTGGCTTCTCTTGTTGCGGAGCACGGGCTCTAGGCACGTGGGCTTCAGTAGTTGTGGCACCCGGGCTCAGTAGTTGTGGCTCATGGGCTCTACAGTGCAGGCTCAGTAGTTGTGGCACACGGGCTTAGTTGCTCCGCGGCATGTGGGATCTTCCCGGACCAGGGATCGAACCTGTGTCCCCTGCATTGGCAGGCGGATTCTTCACCACTGCACCACCAGGGAAGTCCCGTCATGTTTTTAAAAAGTAAGAAATAGGGGGACTTCCCTGGTGGCTCAGTGGATAAGACTCTGAGCTCCCAGTGCAGGGGGCCTGGGTTAAATCCCCGGTCAGGGAACTAGGTCCCACATGCATGCCACAACTAAGAGTTCACAAGCCACAACTAAGGAGCCAGTGAGCCGCAATTAAGGAGCCCACGTGCCACAACTAAGAAACCAGCAAGCCACAACTAACGAGCCCGCCTGCTGCAACTAAGACCTGGTGCAACCAAATAAATAAATTTTTTTTTAAAGAAATAGGTGAAATTAATTTTTAAAATTGTAATAAAGTACACATAACATAAAATTTGCCACTGAAGTGTAAGTTCACATTTGGGGGCCATTCTCTGGGGGGGGCTGTCCTGGGCACTGTGGGATGTTGAGGAGCACCCCGGCCCAACTCACTGAATGCCAAGAACACCCCCCATCGTGACAACCACAGATGTCCCCAGACATCACCCTGTGTCCCCTGGGGGGGCAGGATCACCCCTAGTTGGGGACCATTGATGTAAAGCTAAATAAATGTATCTGTAGATGTGTCATGAGCCGTCTGGGAGGAAAGTCACCAAAATAGTAAAAGCAATGAGATTCCAGGTGATACCTACTCTTTTTTCTTTTTTTTCCCCCCAAACTGTTTTTTGTCTTTTCTTTTAATAACAACTTTCCATCACTTAAAAACAAAACAAAAACAATAATGCCTTCTCTTAATCATGCTTGGCTCTGAATAATTCAAAATGCCTCACTTTTAAATTGTCTGCTCACACAGATATACATTCTTTTTCATGTTCTTTTCCAGTATGGTTTATCACAGGATATTGAATATAGTTCCCTGTGCTATATATTAGGACCTTGTTGTTTATCCATCCTATATGTAATAATTTGCATCTGCTAATCCCAAACTCCCAATCCTTCCCTCCCCCACCCCCCTCCCCCTTGGCAACCACAAGTCTATTCTCTATGTCTGTGAATCTGTTTATGTTTTGTAGATAGGTTCATTTGTGTCATATTTTAGATTTCACATATAAGTGATACTTGTCTTTCTCTGACTTACTTCATTTAGTATAATAATCTCTAGGTCCACCCATGTTGCTTTAAATGGCATTATTTCATCCTTTTTTATGGCTGAGTAGTATCCCATTGTACACATATATACCACATCTTCTTTATCCATTCAACAAAACATACCTGATTTTAAGTCTCTTTCTGTCAGCAGCTCCTTCTGGCTTCCTGCAGCAAAACGGAGAAGAGATATAAGCTCATTTAGCAAGCATTGAGGTTCTCTGACAACATCGTATTGCAAAGCAGTGGTCTCCGCGGTCCACCTGGGATCCACTTAAATTCTGACTTAAATCAGCAAAGATGAAATCAGATGAAATATTCCATTCCTCACGATAAGAGCTCAACAGCTGCGTGGGGCAGGTGGCTGCCAGAGTGGATGGCACCGACCCAAAACGTTTCCATCCCCGCAGAAAGCTCTCTTAGTGCTGGCGAGGTTACTGAGACTCACTGAGTGTGTCGGGAGTGGTGGAGAGGGGAATGTAAATGTCCTGCAGGGCAAGGGCAAGGCTACCATTTTAAAATCTGAGCAGTCTGACCTCATGCCTGGCTCTCAAATCACAACGCACAGCAATCTTAGAATTTTAGAGCATAACATCTACCCTTATTTCTATACCAGGGGCCAGGAGCCAAATCCGGCCCACCACTTGTTTTTGTAAATAAAGTTTTATTGATACACAGTGGTGTCCGTTTGTTTATATAGTGCCTTTGCTGCTTTTGTGCTATAATAGCTGAGTTGAGCCATCTGGACAGAGACCCAATGGGTGGCAAAGATGAAAATATTTATAGGTTGCCACCCCCTGGTCTAGACCATAGAGGGTAAAGCAATGGGTATATGTTTCCTTGTCACCAAGAGGGGCGATTATGGAAAACCTCGAGTTTAATGCGACTTTCACTTGGCTCCCCTTCCCCAGCATGTCCCTCCAGCCCCTCCCAACGTCACCCTGTCTCTGGGGCCACTCGCCTGTGAGCTGGGCGGACACGATGGTGCCATAGGGGGCCAGGGGGATGCCGCGGCCCTGCAGCCTCTCTCGGAGTCCCCGCTGCAGCAGCTCCTCCTCCAGGCCCAGGCTCGGTGTCCACAGGGCCGGCTGCATAAAGTGCAGCCGAAAACGCACCAGGATGCTGGCGTTGCCCTCCCTGCGGGGAGGACACTGGCCCTTGAGAGGGAGGGCGCCTCTTGGCTGGAATCTTCTGCAGTCTCTCAGGCAACCACCAAGCTTCCTCCACCTCCAAGGAGGCCCCAACTCACCAGTAACTGAGCACTGTGCAGCCCACACAGCTGGCCTCCAACTCTGTCTCCCGAAAGCTGCTGACAAACTACAACAGAAACAACCGTGGCAAATGTGAGACTCTGCGGAGACTCCCTCGGGGGAGAGCTGGGAAGGGGGTGGAAAAGCATCTCCTCTTCAACTCCATGTGTGCGGCCAACTCACAGAACTAAGAGACAGGACAGGCATCTCGAAGTCGTGCCTATGAAAATATAGCTCCGCCAACAGATGATGGAGAAACCCCACGTGGTCCCTCCACACACGAGAGCATCACTCAGCCATGAAAAGAGGTGAAGCCCTGACACTCGCTACAGCGTGGACGGACCCTGCGAACACGATGCTCAGTGAGAGAAGCCAGACACAGAAGGACACACAGAGTGTGATTCCATTGATGGGAAACGTCCAGAACAGGCAGATCCGTAGACACAGAGCGTGGGTTCCTGGTTGTCAGGGGCTGCAGGAGAGGGGGAGGGGGTGACTGCTGATGGGGGTGGGGTTTCCTTTTTGGGTGATGGAAGGTTCTGGAACTAGAAGTGATGGCTGCACAGCTTTGTGAATGTACTAAATGCCACTGAATCAGTCACTTTAAAAGTGGATAATTTCAGGGAATTCCCTGGCGGTCCAGTGGTCAGGACTCGGCGCTTTCACTGCCGGGGGCCCGGGTTCAATCCCAGGTTGAGAAACTAAGATCCCACAAGCTACACAGCATGGCCAAAAGAAAAAAATAATAATAAAGAAAAGGATAATTTTATGTTTTATGTGAATTTTACATTAAAAAAAAATTCTGTGGCTGAGCCCACTTTGTGCAAGCAGGTGCTATCAGGAAGGTCCTCGTCCTTCATGTGCTGTTAGGGTGACCACTGTCCGCGTCTCCTAGGATTGTCTCGGTTTGGGCACCGGAGGGCCCACATCTCTCCCCTCGGCAGCTCACGTCACCCACACGTAGGGTGACCATGTAACCCCGTTCATCTGCTCTCCCAATGTAGTCACTGACAGCGTCCCTGTCCCCTGGCAGAATGTCCTGCTCAGGTGCTAAATCCTATGGTCACCATCCTCGCTCCCTAAACACACGTGATGCACGGTCATGCCCGTTCATTCGCTCATCTAAAACACCCTTAATCCAATTTGCTTCTCTGAACTGCACCCTCTGAGTCCACATCCCCATGGCCCACACTCAGACCTGCACTGTCCTGTAGAACATTCTACAAATTTCCAAAATGTTCTACACCTGCCTCGCCCCATATGGCAGCCGCCGGCCATATGTAGAAACTGAGCATTTGAAATGTGGCTGATTTTCACATTTTGTTCAATTTTAATTAATTCACGCTTCAATTTCAAAACGGATGCTTGATTCAGTCACTGGAAAATTCTTAAGTATATTTGGAGCATTTTGGGTCTGTAAACGTTACAAATTCTAAGTAGGGATGGAGTTTTCCGAGTGGAAGCTCAGTATCCACCCTGAGATGTGAGTGTAAAAGACACACCAGGTTTGGGGGACTTCCCTGGTGACGCAGTGGTTAAGAATCCACCTGCCAATGCAGGGGACACGGGTTCAACAGCTACTGAAGCCTGCGCGCCTAGAACCGGTGCTCTGCAATGAGAAGCTACCGCAATGAGAAGCCCACACACCGCAACTAGAGAAAGCCCGCTTGCAGCAACAAAGATACAACGCAGCCAAAAAATAAATAAACTTAAAAAAAAAACGACACACCAGGTTTGGAAGCCTCAATACAAAGGAAAGAATGTAAAATAGCTCATTAATACCTGCTTTATATAGGTTGATGACATGTTGAAATGATAACATTTTGGATATTCTGGGTTAAATAAAATGTATTATTAAAAATAATCTTACCTGATTCTTTTTACTTTTTTTTTTAAAAAGTGGCTACCTGAAAATGTTAAATTACACATGGGGCTTCTGTTACATTTCTACTGGACCATGCTGCTTTAAGATACGGGATTGAGATTAGCAATACGGCCCATGTGCTGAATTAGAATCACTGCCTGTTTTTGCACAGATCACGGACAAGAATGGTTTTTACATTTTTAAATGTAAAAAAAACAAAAGAAAAATATTTCACGGTGCATGAAAATGGTATGAAATGCAAATTTCAGTGTCCATAAATAAAGGTTTATTGGCACACGGCCACGCCCACTCATCCATGTCATCTATGGCGGCTTTCAGGCTACAACACAAGGCCCAGCAGTCAAGACAAACTCTCTGGCCCCCAAAAGCCAAAAATATTGACCATCTGGCCCTATTACGGGGAAAGTTTGCTGACTCCTGGTCTAGATGATGGTGACTCCTAACTGTCCCCCTGCTTCTCTCACATCTTATCACATATTTAAAATGAATCCTTACCTAGTCACCTTTCTCCTTCCCTTAGGATAAAATGTTAAACAATGTTTTAAAAGTCACCTACCATAAAAACTCACCTTTTACAAGTGTGCAATTAGATGGGTTTTAGTATATTCACAGAGTTGTACAACCTCATCACAATTTTAAAACATTCTCATGACCCCAAAAGAAGCCCCATTCCCATCAGCATTCACCCCCATCCTCTCCCCAGCCCCTGACAACGAGGAACCCACTCTCTGTGTCTGTGGATCTGCCTGTTCTGGACGTTCCCCATCAATGGAATCACACCCTGTGTGTCCTTCTGTGTCTGGCTTCTCTCACTGAGCATCATGTTCTCAAGGTCCATACACACTGTAGCAAGTGTCAGGGCTTCACCCCTTTTCATGACTGAGTGATGCTCCCGTGTGTGGAGGGACCACAGTTGTTTATCCATCATCTGTTGATGGACATTTGGGTTGCTTTCACTTTGGGGCTGTTATGAATCATGCTGCCATGAACATTCGTGTACAAGTTTCTGTGTGGACTCACGGTTTTGTTTTTCTGGGGCAGACACCCAGGAGCAGAATTGCTGGGTCAGATAGTAACTCCAGACTGTTTTCCAAAGTGGCTGCCCCTTTTCATATTCCTACCGCCACGTAGGAGGGTTCTGATTTCTCTACCGAAATGCAGTTTACAACCTTTCAACGTGGCCTACGGATCCTGCAGCAGTCAGTTCCCATCAAATGCTACCCTCCCCTGCATTCTGGAATGCATCAGCCCCTGCCCTGTTCACCCCATGGGGCCCCCTCCCTACCTCAGAGGCTGCCTGGGCCTCCCATTGTTCTGCTGCCTCAGTCAGAGCCCCTGGCCTCCCACTTGGCCCCCCTGGCTCCCAGAACCCTCACCAGCGTTTCCAGAGTGGGCGTCAGCGTGCGGTAATAGTCTGAGGTCTCCTGCTGCAAGCTGGGGGCAAACCGGATCCCTCGCAGCTCGGCTGTGTGCTCCACATTGACACCCTGTGTAGAGAGGGAGGCTGCGGACAAGACCAGGGCCCCGTGAGAGCGCCCACCTGCAGGGGCAGGGCTCAGCCAAGCCGGCCTCTGAGGCCCCCCCATCACCCTGGGGCGGTCACCCCCAACAAACGGGGGGTGGGCTGACTTCCCGGGGGTTGAGTGATTATTAACAGTGCTCCCTTATCAGCTCTCACCCATCACCCACCCAAAGGCCCCCAGGTACCCAAAGCCCCAGGCATCTCCAGGTTTCCCTAAGAGGAGGACTGGATCCTAGCCAAAAATGGCTGAAATGGCCTCAGAAGGAAGACCTTCCCTCGACTCTGGGACAATTCCCACCTCCTCCCTGGGAAGGGGCACCAAATACCCCAGGGGCACAGCCAGGGGTGCCAGGACCCTCGAACCCCGGCCCATGACACCACCCTCTGAATAATAGTTTCCAACGGTTGTCCAAAGTACACAACAGCAAAGAAGAACAGTAATACAATGTTGTAAAGAATACAACCCTACATGATACATGAAGACATGTGTTTCTAACTGTCGAAAATACGTGAGACTGGCAAATGGGTCCGTCAGTCAAAACTGATCATAATTACAAAATTAAAAGACTAGAAGTAGGGAGTTCCCTGGTGGTCTAGTGTTTAGGACTCAGCGCTTTCCCTGCTGGGGCCTGGGTCCAATCCCTGGTCGGGGAACTAAGATCCCACAATCCATGTGGTATGGCCAGAAAAAAAAAAAAAAATTTTTTTTAAATTAAGAAATAGAAGTAGCAGCCACCTACACTGTGAAAGCTGGCTCCCAGCTCTATTTATTTGAATGAATATTCAACCAGCTCGATATTTAGATATTTGTTTATTCAATAGATAGAAGAGTCTAAAGTAATTCTAAAATTGGTGTGTTTTCTCATGCAAGGAACTAAAAAGAAAGAAAACAAGAACCCTGCTGTGTAGAACCATGTGCTTATGTTCTGGACCCCAAATAAGCCTCACACTTTCCCTCTGAAATAACCATGGGCTCCCAGGCAACTGGAGAAACAGCCCAGCAAGGGCCCGTGTAAAATTTTATACTTCCAAATAAACTTTTGAGCTGTCTGGGAAGGGGACAAATTTGAATTGTAATTTAAAAATTGTTTTTAAATTTTAAGTGCTTCTTAGAGCCTTCCTCAGTTTCAGAGGTCCTGCTGGAGATTTTATCTACCTGTTATCCCAAAATGTAGCTGTGCTTCTAGACTGGAGGTGTGCAACTGTCCCCTGTCTCTCCCTAGCGTGAGGACACACGGACACACGAACACACGGCCACCCCCCATCCACCAACAGAGCCCAATTTTCATGCACTTCACCCCACAGCCACTAGAGGGCCTCTGTCAGCCGTGCCAGGCTCTGAGTTATTCCAGATATTCACAAATATATATATATTTAAATATATTATATACATCTTAAATATATATATATATATATTTTTTTTTGCGGTACGTGGGCCTCTCACTGTTGTGGCCTCTCCTGTTGTGGAGCACAGGCTCTGGACGCGCAGGCTCAGTGGCCACGGCTCCCGGGCCCAGCTGCTCCGCAGCATGTGGGATCTTCCCAGACCGGGGCACGAACCCGTGTCCCCTGCATCGGCAGGTGGACTCTCAACCACTGCGCCACCAGGGAAGCCCAAGGTTTTTATTTTTATAAATTTATTTATTTATTATTTTTATTTTTGGTTGCGTTGGGTCTTCGTTGCTGTGCGCGGGCTTTCTCTAGTTGCGGCAAGCAGGGGCTACTCTTTTTTGTAGTGTGTGCGCTTCTCATTGCGGTGGCTTCTCTTGTTGCAGAGCAAGGGCTCTAGGCAGGTGGGCTTCAATAGTTGTGGTGCGTGGGCTCAGTAGTTGTGGCGCACGGGCTTAGTTGCTCCGTGGCATGTGGGATCTTCCTGGGCCAGGGCTCGAACCCGTGTCCCCTGCATTGGCAGGCGGATTCTTAACCACTGTGCCATCAGGCAAGCCCCTCTCAAGGGTTTTTAAAAAGTTCATTTCCCTACTGGTCTCCATTTCACCCTGGTTGTGAATCTTCATTAAGCAACTAAGACCCAGCGCAACCAAATAAAAAAATATTTAAAAAAACAAAATCAAACACATGGTATTAAAAAAAATAAAGAATCCCACTGGTGGGAAACCTGAAATTTGCAGGTATTGCCTCGACACACAGGCACCCACCGCCTAGCCCAGGACTAAGTGCAGCCACACTCAGAACCCGGTCCCATTGCCTTGCTGTTGGGTGGCCTCTGTGTACCGCATGCTCAGCCCTTTGCTCTGGGACACTTTTGAGCCACTCCCAGGCATCTTAGTGCAAGCTGCCTGCCGTGCGGACCCGTGCAAGTCTGTGGCCACTCACCCACAAGGACTCCCAGGGTGACCATGACGATGCTGGTGGCCACCATGGCCGAGAGGGCTGCCCGGCAGCATGCGGCGTCTGTAGGCTGGATGTCCTTGGTTGCCCTGGGCACCAGCTGTAAGTCACCGGCGGTGGGCTCCATGGCTCCCAGACGTGGGGACGGCAACCTGGAAGCCAGCAGAAAAGAGACAGAAAAAGGAGGTCAGAGCTGGGGGCGTTTCTCTTTCCCTAAGCAAGGGTCTTCCTTGTGCAGACGTGACAGCCATCAATAGCGCCCTAGGCGTCGGGGGCTCGACGCAAAACATAAAAACGGATTCAACATGATTGCTGGCTGGGCTGGCACACGCGGGATCCCCATGGGGCCCTTGCTGGGAAGAGCATGTATGAGTTTCCTGCACTTGCTATAACAAATGACGACAAACCAGTGGCTTAAAGGAACGCAGATTTATTATCTTACGGTTCTGGAGGTCAGAGGTCTAAATAATAGAAGGCTGTGCTCCTTCCGGAAGCAGCCGTCTGCCAGCCAGGAAGGGAGCTCCCACCAGAAACCAACACCGCCGACACCTGGATCTTGGACCTCCAGCCTCCAAAAGTGGGAGAGAAAAAATGTCTGTTGTTTAAGCTGCTCCGTCTATGATATTTGTTCTGGCAGCTTGAGGTGACTGAGACAATTGCACAGAGATCCCACATAACTCACACCCAGCGTCCCTAATATAAAGTCTGGTACATGTGTCACAATTAATTAACCAATTTTTTTTTCTTTTTTTGGCTGCACGGCATGCAGGATCTTAGTTCCCTGACCAGAGATCGAACCCGTGCCCCCCTGCAGTAGAAGTTGGAGTCTTAACCACTGGACTACCAGGGAAGTCCCTTAACGAACCAATATTGATACACTATTACTAACCAAAGTCCACAGTGTATTCAGATTTCCTCAGTTTCCCCCTAATTTCCTCTTCTGTCCCAGGACCCCATCCAGGATCCCATGTGACAGTCATCACATGTCCTTGTGACCTCTCTGGGCTATGATGGTTTCTCAGACTTTGTGATGCCCTGGGTAGTCTTGATATTTTGCGGAATGTCCCTCTTTGGGGGTCTGTCTCGTGTTTCTCTCATGGTGAGACTGGGGTGAAGTGGGGGTTGTCTGGCAGACCTCCCCCCTCCAGGCCCCACCATCCACCCCTCCATCTCTGCTCATGGGGTGTCTGAAGCAGCCCCTCCACTCTTGGTCTGGGTGATGTCTCCTCCTTCAGGAAGCCCTCTTGACCTCTTCCACCCCCAGCTACAGACCGCCCTCTGTCACATTCAGGGAGTATCCTCTCTGCAGCCAGCTCTTCCCTGAGATTCCACATCCATCCATCCCCCTGGAAAATCCTCATCACAAAAGACTCACAAGACACTCAGATATTTGTTGAACGAATACGGCTTGTGGAATAGTCACCTGCATTGGGTTTTGGTTTCCCAGGTGTGCCCAGTTGACAGAACACAATCAGACCGTTTTCTAAATGCATTGTGGTTGGCAACACAGCCCCAGGGTGTACTGACCTCATCTATCGTTTGTTTTGGTCAGATCTCAACTTGATCTTTATTATTATTTATTTATTATTTATTTTTGGCTGCGTTGGGTCTTTGTTGCTGCACACGGGCTTTCTCTAGCTGCGGTGAGTGGGCTTCTCACTGCAGTGGCTTCTCTTGTTGTGGAGCATGGGCTCTAGGCGCTTGGGGTTCAGTAGTTGTGGCGCGGGGGCTCACTAGTTGTGGCTCGTGGGCTCTAGAGAGCAGGCTCAGTAGTTGTGGCGCCCATGTCCCCTGCATTGGCAGGCAGATTCTTAACCACTGCACTACCAGGGAAGTCCTGACCTCATCTTAAAGGTAAATGTCTAGTCCAGGGTTGGCTGGCTTCACACCTTGTTTTTATAAATAAAGTTTTATTGAAACACAGATATGTCCATTTGATGACATCAGTGGTTCCTAACTGGGAGCAATTTTGCCCCCAGTGGTGACACATGGTGATGTCTGGAGACATTTTGGGTTACCGCGACTGGGGCTGCCCCCGGCATTTGATGGGTGGGGACCGGGGATGCTGCTCAACACCCACAGTGCCCAGGATGGCCCCACACAGAGAGAGATCCAGCCCAAGATATCAGTGGTGCTGAGTCTGAGAAACCCAGAGGTATATATTAACTTTGGCTGCCTTCGTGATGCAGTGGTGGAGTTGGGTGGTCAAGACAGAGACTGATCTGGTCTGCAAAGCTGAGCATATTTACTCTCTGGCCCTTTCGAAACATCTGCCCATCCTGCATAAGGCCATCCCCAGCTGGTGAGTCATCACTAATGCTTTGACGTGGAAGAGGATTTGCAAATATGAATGTCAGAGTTTGCCCTGGTGTCACAATGCAGGTGCCGGAAGAGAAGCCTCCTCCTTCTGCTGGCGGCTCACTCTCTTTGGGGCGGTGGATTCACCCCAGGGTGGCCCACAAAATACTGCACCGCGGTAAACTGGCCCACTAAACACAACCTGAGAGCTCGTCAGCCCCTGAGAGATGGAAGGAACGCCATGGTAGACAGAATCCAAGATGGCGGCCATGACCTGAGGCCCTCAGTCCTGCAACCACAAGGAACTGAATTCTGCCCACAACCCTGTGAGCTGGGAAGTGGATCCTTCTGTAGTTGAGACTTTGGATGAGACGGCAGCCTCGACTGACACGCTGATTGCTGTCTTGTGGGAGACCCTGAGCAGCAGACCCAGCGAAGCCGTGCCCAGACTCCCGACCCACAGACACCGAGAGGTAATAGATGTGTGTTGATTTAAGCCACTAAGTGTGTGGTGATATTGTTTTGTGGCATAGAAAGTAAATACAATGCCACTTCACCCATTAAATGCTATTTGAAAGTCAACTGTTGGGTTCGTTTTTATGAGTCTGAACATTTTGAGCATTACGCTGATTCTCCGTCATAACAGTTAACTCTATTCTTTTTTTAATCTCTTATTAGGGAGGATACAGGGTAAGAATAGCTGTGCGATCTAACAACTCTGGCATCCAGCTTCCTCCTCTGTCAAATGGGCAGAATGCAACGCCTGCCGTCTGGTTGATTTTTCCTCTCCAGGATCCAGGATCTCAGGATCTCAGTTCCAAGAAGCAGGCTGAGCTCTGGCACTTTTGCTTCTGAAACTTCTCTGGGTCAAGAGCCAACAAATTCACTTAAGGCTGTTGATTTCTGCTACTTGCTACTAAAAGAGCCTTGAATGTGTTAAGCCATCCCCAGCCCCCTGCTGGATAATTCTCTTCCATTCCTGAGACCTGAACAGACCTTTACTCCAAACCCAGCACGTTCTCAGCCTGCAGAGAAGCTTTTCTCTCCAGAGGGGATGAATCACCTTTACATCTCTGCAGAGCTGGATCTCATTACCTCCCCTCTGCCTCTGCTCCCCCGGGGATGCTGGTCCAGCGTGGGCGGAGAATGATTCATACCTGGCCTCTGACACACTCTTCCCCATTTGAACACCACAGAGAAGGAAGTGGGGGGACAATCCCATTCCATTTCCCTTGACAGGGCTCCATGAAGGTGCCCACTCAGCCAGGTGCTTCTCCGGAGGGAGTAGAGCTGTTCTTGAGGCCCGTACAGATGAACGGCAGGCCTGGGTGTCAGATAAAATACGGTCAAACCTTCTGGTAACTGACTCTACTGCTGAACTGAATGAAGAAGCATTTTCAGAACTCTGATGGAAAACTGATGAATTCAGAAAAGTGCCAACAAAAGATCAAGATGAAAAAAAAAATTAATTACACGGGACTGAGTGAACTGATGAGAATGATTATAATTTTTGTGACTTTCTGTTTGAATAAAAAAAAAAAATCCCACAAGGACTCAGAGGCAAAAAATATACAAATCAATTTTCACTGCAAAGTAAAGGAGCTGTTACCGTGGAGGATTCCTGGACTGAATGTCAATATTATGACACAGTGTCAGTGTGTTTCCTGTTTGGTAATTGCAGTCATTGTTGCTTTTGTTGTGACCATCCATTTACCAAAAAAAAAAAAAAAAAAAAATA